CAGATTTCCCGTATATCCCCTGTCCTTACACATGTACAACCTCCCCCACTATCAACATTCTGAAATGGAGTGGTACATTTGTTCTAATTGATGAGCCTACATTAACTCACTATGACCATAGTTTATAGTTTACATCAGGGTTCTCTCTTGGTGTTGTATATTCTATAGGTTTGAACAAATGTGTAACGACACATATCCACCATAATGGTATCATACAGAGTAGTTTCACTGCCCTGAAAATCCTCTGTGTACTGCTTATTCATCCCTCTCTTACCCCCAATCCCTGGCAACCACTGATCCCTTTACTGTCGCCGCAGTTTTCCAGAAGGTCATATAGTTGGAATATACAGTATGTAGCCTTTTCAGATTGGCTTCTTTCACTTAGCAACATGCATCTAAGCTTTTTCCATGCTTTTCATGGCTTGGTAGCTCATTTATTTTTAGTGCTGAATGATATTTCATTGTCTGGATGAACTGTAGTTTGTTTATCCACTCATCTACTGAAGAATATCTTGTTTGATTCCAAGTTTTTGCAATTGTGAATTGCAAAGTGCAGTAAACATCCATGTGCAGGTTTTTGTGTGGATGTAAGTTTTCAACTCCTTTGGATAAATCAAGGAGCACAATTGCTGGATCTTGTGGAAGAGTATGTTTAGTTTTGTAAGAAATTGCCAAGTTATCTTCCAAAGTGGCTGCACTATTTTGCATTCCCACCAGCAATGACTGAGAGTTCCTGTTGTTCCATATCCTTATCAGCATGGTGGTGTCAGTGTTTTAAATTTTACCAATCTAATAGGTGTGTAGTGGTATCTCACTTGTTTTAATATGTAATTCCCTAATGACACATGATGTTGAGCATCTTTTCATATGCTCATTTACCATCTGCATATCTTTGGTAGGATATCTCTTCAGGTCATTCACTCATTTTTTACTTGGGTTGTTCATTTTCTTATTGTTGAGTTTTAAGAATTCTTTGTTTATTTTGGGTAACAGTCTTTTATCAGATATGCAAAAGTGCAAATATTTTCTTACAGTCTGTGACTTGTTTTCTCATTCTCTTGGCAGTGTCTTTCACAGAGTAGGAGTTTTTTATTTTAATGAAGTTCAGCTTATAATTCTCTTATGGATCATGCCTTTGCCATTGTATCTAAAAAGTCATTGCTATACCTGAGATCATTTAGATGTTCTCCTATGTTATCTTCTAGGAGTTTTATATTTTGTATTTTACATTTAGGTCTATGATCCATTTTGAATTAATTTTTGTGAAGGGTGTAAGGTCTATGTTTAGATTATTTTTTGATATGTGGAGGTCCACTTGTTCCAGTACCAGTCATTGAAGAGACTATCTTTGGTAAACCATTGTATTACCTTTGTGCCTTTGTCAAAAATCGGCTGACTATATTTATGTGAGTCTATTTCTCGGCTCGCTGTTTATATCTACTGATCTATTTGTTTGTTATTCCATTAATACCACAGTGTCGTGATTAGTGTAGCTTTATATTAAGTCTTGAAGTCAAGTAGTGTCAGGCCTCTGACATTATTGTTCTTCAATATTCTGTTGTTTATTCTGGGTCTTGTGTACCTCCATATAAACTTTAGCATGAGTTTGTTGATATCCATAAAATAACTTGCTGGATTTTCATTGGGATTATGTTGACTCTAGAGATGAAATTGGAACAACTGACATTTTGACATTATTGAGTCTTCCTATCTGTGAACACGAAATATCTATTTAGTTCTTTGATTTCATTCATCAGAGTTTTGTAGTTTTCCTCATATTGATCTTGTACATATTTTGTTAGATTTGTACCTTAGTACTTTTTTTTTCGGTACTAATATACATGGTATTTTGTTTTGAATTTCAAATTCCACTTTTTTTTGAATTTCAAATTCCTTGCTAGTATTTAGCAAAGCAGTTGACTTTTGTATATTAACCTTGTATCCTGCAACCTTTCTGTTAGTTCCAACAGTTTTTTTGTTGGTTGTTTTGGATTTTCTGTATAGATAATCATGCCATCTGTGAACAAAGACAGTTCTATTTCTTCCTACCCAATCAGGGTTGCCTTTATTTCTTTTTTGTCTTATTGTATAATGTTGAAATGAAGTGGTGAGAGGAGACATCCTTGCTTTGTTCCTGATCATAGTGGGAAAGCTGCTAGTTTCTCACCATTAAGTATGATGTTAGCCGTAGGTTTTTTGTAGATTTTCTTTATCTAGTTGTGGAAGTTCTCCTCTATTCCTAATTTGCATTTCCTTTCTTTTTAAAACTGAATAATATGTGGTATGTGTGAGGATACTTCAAAAAGTTCATGGAAAGTTCAATATTATCTTTTAATAATATTTTTCCATGAATTTTTTGAAATATCCTTGTATAGACCACATTTTTTTTACCCATTTATCCATTGATGGACACTTGGGTTGCTTCCACCTTTTGGCTATTGTGAATAATGCTGCTGTGAACATGAGTATACACATACCTGTTCGAGACCAATGCTTTCACTTCTGAATATATACCCAGAATTGGAATTGCTGGATCATATGGTAGTTCTATTTTAATTTTTTTGAGGAACCAGTATGCAAAATTTTATATACAATGGTATTTACTGCACTGATGTTTATATAAGCAAAGATTTGGAAGCAGTCTTGCTTCAGTAGGTGATTGGTTACATAAATTATGACACACCCACACAATGGAAAGTATTCTACAGCTACTTAAAAATGATAATGGTAGATCTGTATGTATTGACATGTCAAAATGTCCAGATATATTGTAATATGAAAAAGGCAAACTATATGTAATATAAACCTGTTTTTATTTTAAATCTATGTATATGTATGCCCCCCAATTTTTTTTTAAGAATAATGAACTTCAGGGAGAGGGATAATAAGTGCGATAAGAGAGTATACTTTTAATTTACTGCTTTATAAATCATTGCATCATTCCACGGTTTACAAGAACTACAGTTTTATAAGCAGAAAAACCAATGTGAATAATTGTGTTTTTTGTCGGGGGTGGTTAACTCCCAGTTGTCTTTGAAATACGAAGAAAATGTTAAGTATTTCACTTATTTACTAAATGCTTTTATGTATACAACATTAAATGCTAATCATTGGGATATTTTAAGTATCTTTTTATTGTTGTGTTTAAACATCTTTTTATTGATGTACTTATTGTTTTGTGACCTGAGGTATGAAATAAGCACAATGAATTTTCATCAAAACAGTTTCACATAAAGAAAATATTCCACCATTTTGGTATCGTATTTTTTTTAATTTTAATTTTTATTTATACATTTATGGAGGACAGAGTGACTATTAGGATTTGTATACAGTATGTAATGATCAAATCAATATTATTAGCACATTCATCATTACAAATCATAAGTACTTCTTGTGTCCCTTACTCAGTTACTCCCTATTCTCCCTCTCCCTCCACCTTTCCCACCTCTAGTAACTACAGGTCTTTTCTCTCCTTCTGAAAGTTCAGTGTTTTATTATGGTCTTTCTTTCTTTGTTTCTTAGCTCCCACTTATGAGTGGGGACATGCAGTATTTCCCTTTCTATGCCTGGCTTATTTTGTTTAACATAATTTTCGCCAAGCTCATCCATGTTGCTGCAAATGACAGAATTTCATTCTTTTTTACGGCTGAATAGTACTCCATTTTTTATCTATACCACATTTTCCTTATCTAGTCATCTGTTGATGGACATTTAGATTGGTTCCATATCTTGGCCATTGTAAAATAGAGTTGTGATGAACATGAGAGTACAGATATCCCTTCGACATGTGATTTCCATTCTTTTGGCTATATACCCCAAAGTGGGATTGCTGGATTGTATACTAGTTCTATCTGTAGTTGTTTGAGAAACCTCCATACTGTTTTTCATAATGGTTGAACTAATTTAGTCTCATCACCAGTGTAGAAGAGTTCCCTTTTCCCTACATCCTCACCAGCATTTGTTATTCTCCGTCTTTTTGATAATAGCCAGTCTAGCTGGGGTGAAATGATATCTCAGTGTGGTTTTGATTTGCATTTCCCTGATGATTAGTGATGTTGAGCATTTTTTTGTGTGTACCTATTGGCCATTTGTGTGTCTTTCTTTGAAAAACATCTATTCAGATCCTTTGCCCATTTTTTAAATTGGATTATTTAGTTTTTTACTATGAAGTTGTTTGAGTTCCTTGTATATTCTGGATATTAATCCCTTGTCAGATGTATGATTTGCAAATATTTTCTCCCGTTCATTAGGTTATCTTTTCACTCTGTCGATTGTTTCCTTTGCTGTGCAGAAGCTTTTTAGTTTGATATAATCCCATTTGTTTATTTTTTGTTGTTGTTGTGCTTTTGCGGTCTTATTCATAAAGTCTTTGCCCAGTCCTCTGCCCTGAAGTGTTTCCCCTATGTTTTCTTCTAGGAGTTTTATAGTTTCAGGTCTTATACTTAAGTCTTTATAATCCATTTTGAGTTGATTTTGTATATGGCGTGAGGTATGGGTCTAGTTTCATTCTTCTACACATGGATATCCAGTTTTCCCAGCACCATTTACTGAAGAAGCTGTCTTTTCTCCAGTGTATGTTCTTGGTGCCTTTGTCAAAGATCAGTTGGCTATAAATACCTGGGTTGATTTTTGGATTCTCTATTCTGTTCAAGTGTCTGTTTTTATGCCAGTACCTTGCTGTTTCGGTTACTATAGCTTTTGTAGTATAATTTGAAGTCAGGTAGTGTAATGCCTCCTGTTTTATTTTTTTTTGCTCAGAATTGCTTTGGCTATTCAGGGTCTTTTGTTATTCTGTATGAATTTTAGGGTTGTTTTTTCTATTTCTGTGAAGAATGTCATAGGAATGGTGCTTCCCATTTCCTATGACTGTGTGGTGAGGTAAGTAGTGAAATCGGAGACTTGTCAAATTTCCTCTACTCTTGAAGAAAATATTTTTTATTTTAAGCATTGTGTTATGTTATACACTGAATCCAGTATTTTTCCCTTTTTTCTGACGGTAGATCTTCATGGAGGAACACGGAGTGACCCAAACTGAACACATGGCTACCATAGAAGCGCATGCAGTGGCCCAACAAGTACAGCAGGTCCATGTGGCCACTTACACTGAGCACAGTATGCTGAGTGCTGATGAAGACTCACCTTCTTCCCCTGAGGACACCTCTTATGATGATTCAGATATACTCAACTCCACAGCAGCTGATGAGGTAACAGCTCATCTGGCTGCTGCAGGTAATGTTGTCTGGATTGGAAGCTCTTCTTTTTTTGCTTAACTTGTGGTACCATGCATATCTGAAGAAGCCTAGGATTCAGGCACTCTAGCATTTATCTTCATTACAATTTTTAGAAGTCCTTCATTTACATCTTGAGCTTGTGTTATACTGAGACTTGCATTCTAGAATCATTTATTATTAGTATTATGGCGTTGGTTTTGTTTTTTTTTCGTTTATATGACAGTCTTTTGACTTTTAACTGAAGTATTTATTCCATTTACATTATGTAATGACTGATATATTTAGATTTAAATTTACCATCTTTACTATATGCTTTCTCTGTGTACCACCTGTTCTGTGTTTACTTTCCTCTTCCTTCATGTATTCTTTTGGACTGACTGAAGAGTTTTTATTTTTTCATTTTTTTCACTTATCAAAGTTTTATTTACTTGGTACTTTTCTCCTCCACAGGGATAATGCAAATTTCTTAGAACACTTGAATTTTATTCCCCTGCTCCTGACCTGTATGCTGTTGTCATCCTGTGTATTCATTCTTTGTGTATTTTAAACCCCACAAGACATTATTTTTGTTTTATACATAATAAATGTTCACTTTTTTCTGCATCTCCAACTTGCCTTCTGAGGTAATTTTACTTCTGCCTGAATACACAATTTTGTATTTCCTTTAGCATGGATCTGCTAGTAGCAAATTCTGTTTTTGCTTGTCTGAGGATGTTTTAATTTAACATGCAACCTTGAAGGATGTTTTCACCAGGTATGGAATTCTAGGTTGGTAGTTACTTTCTTTCCTTATTTTGAAGATACTGTTTCACTGTCTTCAGATTCCATTGCTGCTATTGTGAATTTAACTGTATCATTCTAACAGTGACTCCTTTGAAGGTTATCTTCCACACAGGCACCCCCTCTTCCACCTCCCCCCTTTTATGATTTTCTGGCTTTAGTTTTTGTGGTATATCTAGCTTTGATTTCTTCTCATTTATTCTGTTTGGTTTCTTTGGATATGTAGAATCTGTGGTTTGATGTCTTTCATCAATTCTGGGAAATCTTAGGCACTAGATTTTGCTTCAGCTCCAGTCCATCTTGTTTTCTTCTAAACGCCAATGAAATATGTTGGTTTTCCTCACTGAATCCTTTAAGTCTTTTACCCTCTGTTCTGTATGTACCTTCCTTTTGTCTTTGTTTCATTCTATGTAGTTTCTTCTGTCTTTCCATTTTATTAATTTTTCTCTTCAGCTGTGTCTGAGGAGCTTTTAAATCTGTCCATTGAGTTAACAAATTTTGGTAATTGTTAATAGTTTGGGTTGGTGGGTTCCCCACCCCACCCCAGTTTTCAAATTTCTAGTGTGTCTTTCTTTCTTCTCAAACATGTACTGTAACAGTTTCCACTTGTGAAAAAAAAATTTTTTTTTAAATCTCTATGAGTAAAATAAACATGATTTTACAATCCATCTGGTAGTTCTACTCTCTGAAGTGCCTGTGGTCTGTTTCTGTTACATGTTGTTAGTGCTATTTTTTGTTCATGATGGCTATTTTCGTCATGTACTGATTATATTTGAATGGATGCTGGATGGTGTGTTTGGAAATTATTTTTCAAAATAATTTGGGGTCTAGGATAATGTTATCTTCCTCTAGAGAGGATTTTTGTTTGCTTCTGGCAGATGCCTACAGGCACTAGCAGTCCTGGATCATCTTAATCCAATTTAAGGTTTTGAGATTTTCTGGGCTATTAAATGACTTAAAGCTGGGCTATATTTTGTATCATTCTCTGTACTGTTTACACTGTATACTTATCACCATTGTGAGAAGACTTCTTGTGTATAAACCATGGCTAGATGGGTCTAGTATTGATCTTAGAAGATATTTAGGAAAAGCTAGACAGGAAATCAATGATCAAGAATGGCCAAATACTACATTGCTAAAGAATATGGTGTATTTAAGCAAAGGAAGACAGATGCAATGAAGGAAAACCTTCCTACTGTAAGTTGTTATCCACTGTGTGTTTCTGGAATGGTGAATTTAAAAATAAGGCTAAGTGGCAAAACACATGAAATGTTTATAAAATACATTTTGTGAAATTCTTATTTTCCCCAGAAGAGGGCATCCTAACATAATGAATCCAGGTCCACCTTTTTCCTATGAAGGAAGATGCTTTTGAGACATGACTTTGCTGTATTACTAAACTGCATTGTCATAGTATTAAGATCAGGAAAAGAACTTTAGTCTAACCCTTTCATGTGGCAGATGTGGAAACTGAGGCCAGCTGGTAAAATGATTTACCATTTCACCATTCAACAGTCATTGAAGAATTATACTATATATATTAGTATATATAGATACTATAAACAAGACAGGTAAGAGCTTGCTCCTGAAAGAGCTTACAGTCCAGTGGTAGGGGAGTGGTACAAATAGCAAAGTAAAATAATTTTATAAAGCATTGAATCCTCTGAAGAAAATAATGAGGTAGGGTAATGGAGAGGGAAGGGTAGCAGGTTGCTGCTTTAGATGGAGTAGTCTGGGAAGGCTTCTGAGGTGAGTTGTGACTGACAGGCAGTTAGGTGTCAGCCAACGGAAGTGCGTTTCAGACTGAGAAAATATTGAAAGCAAGGACTTGCAGGTAGGATTTGGGAAGGAGGACACTGTGATTGCAGCCTTGTGAGCAGGAGAGAAAAATGATATAAGAGGCAGGCATGAGTGAGACCACACAGGTTATAGGGACTGTGTATATATAGTCGTTAACTACCCAAACTCTGGAGACAGGCCTCCTGTGTTTGAATCCCAACTCTACTTACAGTCAGAAAAGTCCTCTAGCTAGTATCTATAACATCATCATACCCGTAAGATAACCCAGAAAAGGTAAATGACCCTTTACTATGCCATGTTGCCCCTCAAAAACACTTCTAATTTTCTGCAGCCCAGACATCCCCTGATTAGTGTTGATTTTCAAGGCAAAAATGTTTAGAAGTAGTACGACTAAGTGAAGGTAATAAGAACAATAATATCTCAAGATAGTTAACCTTTTTTGGTATCAGTCACCAATATGAATATTAGATGATTTCGTTTTAAGCAAAATTAAATTTATCCTTTTATTTTCTTTGAAGTGATAAGGGGTAGGGTAACAAATAAAGGAAGTGAGGAGAGATTCACATTGTCTATAGACATAATTAGTACCTTGAGAGTGATGGTTTTGGTAAGTTGTCCAACTAGTATAAAATACTTGAATATTCGAATCATTCAGAAAAGTGTCAAGATTGACATAATGAACACATGTACCCACTACCCAGCTTTGTCAGTTATTACTATTTTGATATGTTTGCTTCAGATTTTTGTTAAGAAATAAAAATTACGGATGTGTAATTCTCTTTCCCTCCTTCTCTCCACTGAGGTAACCAGTATTCTGTATTTGGTCTTTGTCATTGTCTTGTATTTTTTTTTATATTTTTGCTGTACGTGTATGTACCATTAAACAATATTTAGCATTATTTTGCATGTTTTAAATTTTATGTTCATGGTATCACTCTGATCCTATATTTCTGTAACATTATGTTTATTTCATTTAGCATTATTTTTATGAGATTTATCCATGTTGATCATGTGGCTATATGTTTTCATTTTAACTGTTATTTGGTATTCTGTTCATAATGCGAATATCTCATATATTGGTAGATACTTAGGTTGTTTATATTTTTTCTATTATAGTTGATGCAACTGAAAATTATTTTACATGTATTCTTGTGCACATGTAATAGTTTCTCTGGGCAATGTCTTTTAAACTCTTTTGACAATGTCCCACAGTAATACATTTTACATTATGACCAAGAATGAACAAATGTACATATAACCCAGATAACTTTCATAAGTAATAATACTTTCATGAATAATACCCATATTATAAGCTACATACTCTGTGATATATTCTAGTCTATTCTATTTCATTCTTTTTATTAGAAAAAAATACTACTCGTGAACCACCAAAAGGTCACAACTTGCAGTTTGAAAAACACTCCTTGAGGGTGTACCCAGGAGGAAAATTGGAGAGCTAAAAGATATGTACATTTTCAACTTTACTAGATATTGCCAAATGTCTTTTCAGATTGTTATATTAATTTACATTTCCATGGTCACTGTAATGCCTGTTGCTTCTCATTCTCACATTTGGTATTATCAGTATTTTTTCATTTTTTCCAATCTGGTGAGTATGAAATAGTATCTCAGTGTTGGTTTAATTTGCATTTTCCTGAGCGGGAGTTTTCAGCCAGTGCAGTAAGACAAGGTATAACATCATTTCAGATCTTTCTTGGCTCTTCAGTTTTCTTCCTTTGCATATTTCCTGTTTACACCTTTGCCCATTTTCTAACCATGTTGTTTGTCTTTTTTAATATTGATTTGTAAGAGTTATTGATATGTATTTTTTTTACTATTTCTTTCTCAATAATATGCATTGCAATTGTCTTTTCCCAGTGTGTTGTCCACACCCCCATTTATACTTTTTTGTTTGTTTGTTTTGTCCATAAAGGTTTTGATTTATATTATTGTGAAATTTATCATTTTACCTTACATTTTATCCTTTGGGATCTTGTTTAAGGAATTCTTTTTAACCCTGAGTTAATGACGTAGTCTCCGATAGTTTATTATAGAAGTTAAAAATTTTTTTAGTTTTGTTGTTTTATTCTTATTGTTTTACATTTAGGTATTTAATCCACCTGGAATTTATTTTTGTATATGACATGATGTAGGGATCTAGTTTTATTATTTTTCCATATGGACAATCAGCACCATATTTTTAATAGTCCATCCTCTTCTCACCTCTGTCTTCTGACACAAGAGGATGGTTATGAAATCTGCAATTCAGTTGTGTTGGTTTATTTGCCTATCCCTGAGCAAGTTCCACACTGTCTTAATGACTATAGCTTTGTAGTAATTATTAATATGTGGTAGGATGAGTATTCCCTGATTTGTTAAAATCTTCTAAATTGTTCTGGCGATTCTTGGCCATTTGCACTTTTGTTTAAATATTAATATCACTTTATCAAGTTCCATAAAAACCCATATTGGAATTTTTTATTAGAATTGCGCTGAATTTATAAATCAATCAAATTATGTGGCTTTATTCATAATAGCCTAAAACTGGGAATAGCCTAAGTGTCCACTTCCTGGTGGAGGGTAGGTGTGCTCTTGCAAACCCTGTATGGTACACTCCTATGCAAGTTTTTAGAACTTCAGCTATAAAAATAGGCAGAATTTTCCTTGATCATATTGGTAGTACTTGTCTGTTTTCTTGTGCAAACTGTGGAACAATCCTGATGAACCTCTCGGAACTCATCTGCTTGGTTCATAGGTGCCTGTGGCAGAGTGTTTCTTTATAACAAGGTAGTCAACCTGCAGTACAATGAAGTTCAAGATCGGGTCATGCTTACTGGTTGTCACATAGCTCAAGATGTGAGCTACAAAAACTGCAATAGCAAAACTGGGATGGATCCATGGATTTGCCACTGAAGACAGCCAGTGTTATAAGGAAGGCCGTGTGATCCCAGAGCGTGCTGTAGTTTGAGAGAGCAAGGGCTTTGAGAAGCATGTATCAACTGATAACTCTTGAAGAAAAAGAGATAAATCCATCTTTTCCCAGGTCTTATTCACCGAAAACAAAAATCTATTTATATGCACCATCACCTTAGCATCTGAGTTGGATTCATGACCCGTGGAACAAGAGGTTGTGAGAATCTGAGATGGACCTAACCTTCCTTCCTTCCCTCCTTCCTTTCTTTTTGGAATTTTCCATCCAACAGCAGTGTGTAGAGAGAATATTATGCACATGCCATTAATTTTTTTCCCTTATGTTTACATCTTGAAGCAGAAAAGTCTTATCTGCAGCTACATGGTGGGCTATGTGAGAAAAAATCTGGGCTATTAGTGAAAAAGTGTGTTTTATGTAAATTTTGAAAGGAAAATATGTCAAGAGCATGGTTTTTTTTTTTTTTTTTGTCTTTTTTGTCTTTTTTGTCTTTTTCCGTGTCCGGCAATGGATCGCAACCCTCAGTGCTGCCCCTGCACCGGACCGGGGACCGGCAACGGGATCGCAACCCTCGGTGTTGCCCCCGCGCCTCGCTCAGCCAGTGAGCGGGAGCCGGTCTGTATGTGGGATCCGAACCCTCGGGCGGGAGCGCCACCGCGCTTCCCAAGTGGCGCACTTATCCAGTGCGCCACTGGGCCGGCCCAAGAGCATGGTTTTTAAACTTAATAAGGGCTTCATTTTAAAACTTTTTAGAGAAGAGATCTGAATCTGCCCAGTGTGCTAAAGGCTCTGTGTTTGCATGGCTTATGCTGGCCAGTGTGCTGGGTTCTTGTTGGAGATTAGCTATAGCACCAGATCCCATTCTTCCTTGTCAGTCTTGACCCAGAGATGTCACCATTCCTCATTATTTGTCACCACATAATTGGTATTGATTGGAAACTTTCTGAAATGGGGCAGAACTGTTTGGTTGTCTTTTTCCATGTAACTTAAGCATAGTAATATAAATAAACTAATAGTTGGAAAAAATAAGTAAACTTAATTTTCATTTAAGCCTTTTACAGGATTCACAAAGGTGAAGGTAGAATGCCTTTTTAAAAAGAAAAAAAAGTAGTCTTTGACATGTTGAGATCCTGGGAATCAGAAACTTCAATACTTCCTTACGATCTACCCTTCATCTACCCTTAAAAAAACAAAAGAACAAAAACAGTATACTTTAGTTCCAGGGCAAGCCAGACCAACTTTTATTAACATTTTCTTCTTAGAATGGGAAAGTTTTCATGTCTTTTCTACCAAGATGCTTTCATTAGCTTGACCTTGTGGTCAACATCTCCATTTTGGCACAATTGCCAGATATGCAAGAAAAGTTTTCCAATTAAGGTGATATTTTCCAGATACTCTCTTATAGGTGGTGGTGGTGTTGGTCTTTCAAATGTGAGTGATTATCTCCATCTTCCTTAACTTGTCAGTGTCTTGAATTAATGAAAACAGGGGCACAGAGAAGGAAATGAAATTTGAAATCTGTAACTTTTTTTCAGTTTTGGCCAGCTTTTCCTCTCAATGCTGTAATTTTTCCTAGCACCTCTGAGAATATTGCCTTAACAGTATGGGCATGCTGGCAAAAGCAAAGCAAAACAAAAACAATGTTATACAAAATTCAAGCTGGTGTGTGGTGGGGAGGTATAAGTTATTTACTTTTTTAAAAGATTCATTGTAAGTTTTATTGGTCAATCACAATATGATTCATGTTAAACATAGTGAAGTATATTGACAATGTTAAGAACATTCTGTATTTACTGAGCTTATCAGGAAGGAAATGCTACCTTTTTTGTACCTTCATTTTCTGTCTTGTACAGTACAGTTAGAAGGCTTCTGCCTAATCTCAGCACATATATTACTATTTCAGGTCCTGTGGGAATGGCTGCTGCTGCTGCTGTGGCAACAGGAAAGAAACGAAAACGGCCTCATGTGTTTGAGTCTAATCCATCTATCCGGAAAAGACAGCAAACACGTTTGCTTCGGTGAGGGGCCCCTTATCTATATCATTACTTTTCCTCAGATACTTCGTGTGTGGATGATGGAGTTAGAACATATGTTATTAGGTTGGTTCATCAAGGACACCAGGTTAGAGTAGTTGCTGACAGATTCAGACTTTAAAGTACTCTTACAAAATTAAATAAATGAAGACCTAGAAATTTGATTTAACAGATGCATACTATCATATTAATTCATTCAGAGAAAATTTGTATGCCTGCTATGTGCCAGGCACTGGGAATATAACAGTGAACAAAACAAATTGCCTTAAAGAATTTATATTCTGGTAGAGAGAAAAGAAAATAAACAAATATGTAATATATCAGATGATAATAAGTGCTGTGAAAAAAAAATAAAGTGGAAGAATGAAAATAGAAAGGTCAGGAGGTAGGGAGACATAGCAGTTTCTCTCTTGTATAGGGAGGGTCTGAAAAATCCTTTCTGATGAGGTAACCTTTGAACAGAGACCTTAAGGAACCAAAAGAGCAATGATGTTGATGTCTAAGGGAAGAGCATTTCAGGCAGAGGGAATATCAAGAGCAAAGGCCGTGAGGTGGGAACATGGTAACACATTTGAAGGACAGCGAGGGAGAGAGTGAGAGGAGCTGTGGTCAGAGTAGTAGAGAGCCATGTCAAGAGGTCTTGTAGTCCAATACCAGGGCTTTGACTCTTATTCTGAGTGAGGTGGAAATCAGTGAAGGCATTTGACTAGAGCAGTAATATAATCTGACTTTTTTTTTTTTTAAGTAATAGACTTTATAGCAGTTTTTGGTTTCCAGAAAAATTGAGCAGAAAGTATAGAAAATTCACATTACCTCCCCCCACCCCTGCAAACACAGTTTCTACTATTATTAATGTCTTACATTTAACTTAGGTTTTTAAAGAATCACTCAGGCTACTGTGTTGCAAATAGACAAGAACAGAAGTAGGCAAACCAGTCAGAGGGTTATTGTAGTAATCCAGGCCAGAAATGATAGTGTCCCAAAACCAATGTGGCAGCAGCAGAAGTAGTAAGAAGTGGTCAGGTTCTAGATGTATTTCAAGTTAACTCAGCTTGATTTGTTGATGGATTCAATGTGTGGGGTATGAGAGAAAAAAAGGAGTGAAGGGTGACCTCAAGATTTTTGGTCTGCTTGCTGGAAGGATTGAGGTGACATTTACTGGAGGAGGAGCAGGTATGGGAGTAAGGGTAGCACAGAATCAGGAATTTGGTTTTGGACGTTTTAAGTTTGTGATGCCTCTTAACCATTAAGTGGAGATACAAAATAAGCAGTTGGATATGTGAGTCTGGAATTGAAAGGAGAGGTCGTGGCTGAAGATATTATAAACATATAGGTAGTATTTAAGTCTTTGAGACTGGATGTGATCGCTTAGGGAGTGAATATGGTAAAGCACTCCACCCTTTAGATGTTGGGGAGATGAAAGGAATCTGCAAAAGAGCCTAAGAAGCAACCAGTGAGTCAGGAGAAAAACTAAGAGAGTGGCATCCTGGAAACCAAACACAAAAAGTATTTAAAGGAGGACATGCTATCAGCTCTGTCAAATGCTGCTGACAGGTGAATAAGATGTGAATTGACCTTTAGATTTAGCCCCATGGAGGTCATGATTGAACTTGACAAAAGTGTTTTCAAAGGAGTGGTAAGGGTGAAAGAATTGGAATGTCTTCAAGAGAGAATGGAGAGAGAGGAATTGGAGACAGTGAAAATAAACCATTCCTTCAAGAAGTGCTCCCAAGGGCCGGCCCGGTGGCGCACTGGATAGTGCGCTGCTTGGGGAGCGCGGCGGCGCTCCCGCCCGAGGGTTCGGATCCCACATACAGACTGGTTCCCGCTCACTGGCTGAGTGAGGCGCAGGAGCAACGCCGAGGGTTGCAATCCCGTTGCCGGTCCCCGGTCCGGTACGGGGGCAACACTGAGGGTTGCGATCCGTTGCCGGACACGGAAAAAGACAAAAAGACAAAAAAAAAAAAAGAAGTGCTGCCAAATTTCTTGCTTGTATGTGGTACTTTGCTCACCAGTCCCTTGAAAGAATAGACTATTCCCAGAAGAATTATGAAATGTAGAACATCAAAATAATCTCCCATGATTTCAGAGGAAAAGGACAGTGTTTCTGTTTCATCCATTGTTGGTATATTTGAAAAAGCTCTTCTCATTCCATCCTCGTTTGTAAAATACTGCAGGACTGAGAATTATTGTTTATATCACAATGAAAATCTGAAGCTACAACATTTTTAAAATAGTATTTTTGGATAAAATTACGTCAGTGAGATATAAACAATTAGTACATCAATAAAAGAAATTAGAAGCAAGTCATTTGAGCCCCTTTTATTAAGCATGGAGATGATATAATAAACTCTGTAAGAGGACATTTCACCAGTGACCTGTAATTGTAAGTAGTAGTAATAGGTGATGCTAAGATCAGGAAGGATGATACTTGCTGTGTTCAAAATTATGTCATGGCTGTGTCTCAAGGCAGAACTCTCAGTATACCCTTACGTAAATGGGCTGGTCATTGTTCTTTAAGAGTAAGGTATGTACATATTTCTGCTGTACAGGATATCTAACCTCACCCTCCCTTTTTTACATTTTGGGAAAAAGAAAGCATATCTGATTAGAATAAATTGTCTCAAGTCAAAGTAAATTTTATTTGTGTCTGATCACTATAATTTCTATCTTCTTTAACTGTTTTTATTTTCTTTTCATTCTTTGACTCAGGAAACTTCGAGCCACATTAGATGAATATACTACTCGAGTGGGACAGCAAGCTATTGTCCTCTGTATCTCACCCTCCAAACCCAACCCTGTCTTTAAAGTATTTGGCGCAGCACCTTTGGAGAATGTGGTAAGTCAGAACTAAGCTGTGTTCTCAGATGCCCTTTGCTTTCTGTGGGTTGTTGTCGCTGTTCTTCTCTGATCCTCTGTCTATCACAATATAGTTAGCACTTCTATCCTCCCCTCATCCAGGGGTGGGAGTGGGAGATTGGTTTTCTAATCACTTTATGTAGCTCAAAACAAAAAGGATCGCACTGTTTCAACTTCCTTATAACAAGGTATTTTACCTCATCAGATGCAATGGGGAACACCAGTTTTGCTTGTTAAGAAACCAATGCAATATTTTATAAGAAAGTTACTGATTTATGTCAGAAACAAAATTGTAGCTAATTCTAAGATGTCAGCTTTATGAGGCAAACCTGGAAGCATTTTGTTGCTCAGATATTTGAGTTGCGTATTTAAAGTCTCATTTGCATTTCTTCAAAGATTGATTTAACACTCCTTCAGATTAGAGATATATTTGAATATTTTGATTGCATAACTCTTCATAGTTAACTTTTTAAAATCTGCCCTTCTTGTTAGTAATCCATAATTCATTTTGTAAAAGTATTTTGCCCTTGCATACTTAATATGAACTGCTCTTCCTCTGGCCAAAATGACGTTGAATCATTAATAAAATAATGACCTGTCAAGATTTAAATTGCATTTTGTTTTTATTAGGATAAAATTTATTAAGCTTAAAATGACATTTATTAGTGTAGACATTCCAAGAGTTCAGAATTAGTAATCAGTTGATAGAAATTTTGTTTGTAGTATTGTTTTATTCACACCATCTTCTTATCCTATTCCTATTAAATGTTCCTGTTATCTCTTAACTTTCTTGAGTTTCCTAAGGCCCAAGAATTAGGATACATATTAGAACCTTTCCTTAGAAGAATATGGTAGAAGGCTTCTAGTTCAAAATGGCCTGACAAGCAGCCCTTACTGTCACACTGTTGACAAATATGAAATCTGGGCATGTCTTCCTTTCTGCAGTATTGAAAACCTAAAATATTACTACTAGTAATAATAATGGCAAATGTGATCTGTGAAAAAGACTCATCTAGAAGACTCAGAAAAATACTGCTGAAAATTACTCACTGAAATCCAAAATGGGCTAGCCGGTTAGCTTAGTTGGTTAGAGCATGGTGCTGGTAACACCAAGGTCCAAGGTTTGATCCCTGTTCCAGCAAGCTGCCAAAAACAAAAACAAAAAAGCAAAGTGAAAAATCCATAAGAAAGTTTTAGAAAACTGTTGCAATTCTCCATAAAATACAAAAAGAGATAGACTCTATTAAATAGAATAGACTAGAGTGAGATAAAAAGCAAATATATATTTTACTGTTGATTGTATCTGATCAAAAAAACTTGTATCTAGAATATGTAAAGAACTCTTACAACTCAACAATAAAATGACAAATAGCCCAATTTAAATATGGGCAAAGGATCTAAATAGATATTTCTCCAGAGAAGATATAGAAATGGCCAAAAAGCACATGAGCACTAATGACAGATAGTTATTTATCATTAATCATTATTAATAGTCATTTATCATTAATAATCAAATCGTGATTTTTAATTTTCTTAATGACTAATGGTAAATAGATAATGATAAATAATTATTAGTCATTAGGGAGGTGAAAATCAAAACCACAATGAGATATCACGTCACACACACTAGGATGACTGTAATTAGAAAAAACAAAACAATAGTAAGTGTTGGTGAGGATATGGAGAAATTTCTACACTCATACATTGCCGATGTGAATGTGAAATGGTGCTGTGGAAAACAGTTTGGTAATTTCTCAAAATATTAAAAGTAGAGTTACCATGTGACCTAGCAATTCTACTCCTAAGTTATGCCCAAGAGAACAGAAAACATATGTTCACACACAGACTTGCATACAGTGTTCAAGCCAGCATTATTCATAATAGCCAAAAAGTGAAAACAACCCAAATGTCCATCAATTGATGAGTGGATAAATAAAATGTGGTATATTCATACAATGGAATATTATCGAGTAAGAAAAAGGAATAAAGTACTAATATATACTATAGCATGGATGAATCTAGAAAATACTGTGCTAAGCAAGAGAACCCAGTCACATATTGTATGATTCCATTTATATGCAATGTCCAGAATAGGCAAATCTGTAGAGAACGTGGATTAGTAGTTGCCAGGAGATGGGGAATGTGAAGGGAGGAATAGGGAGTGATAGCCAATGGGTATGGAGTTTCTTTTAGGGGTGATAAAAATGTTCTAAATTAGATTGTGATGAGGGTTGTAGTACCCTACAGATATATTGAATTGTACACTTTAAATGGGTGAATTGGGGCCGGCCCAGTGGCGCACTGGATAGTGCGCCGCTTGGGAAGCGTGGCGGCGCTCCCGTCCGAGGGTTCGGATCCCACATACAGACTGGCTCCCACTCGCTGGCTGAGTGAGGCGCGGGTGCAACACCGAGGCTTGCAGTCCCGTTGCCGGTCCCCGGTCTGGTGCGGGGGCAACACTGAGGGTTGCGATCCGTTGCCGGACACGGAAAAAAAGGCAAAAAATAAATAAATAAATAAATGGGTGAATTGTATGATGTGGTAAGCTGAATAATGGCCCCCAAAGATATCCAGGTCCTAATCCCTGTAATCTTAATGTTACCTAATATGGCAGAAGAGACTTTGCAGATGTGATTAAAGATCTCAAGTTGGGGAGATTATTTTGGATTTTTGAGGCAGGCCCTAAATGTGGTCACAAATATCTTTATAAGAGGGGGACAAAGGGAGATTAACATAGAAGTAGATGTGTTGGCGGAAGCAAAGGGATGGATGCAAGGAGGGGGTCAGGAGCCAAGGAGTACAGGCTAGACAGAAGCTAGACAAAGCAAAGAAATTGTATTCTCCCCTGGAGCCTCCAGAAGGATCCAGACCTGCCAACCACCCTGACTTTAGTCCAAGAAAATAAACTGGTATGGCTTTAAGCCACCAAGTTTGTGGTAATTTGTGGCATCCTTAGGAAATAAATACATATGATATGCGAATTATATCTCAATAAAACTGTTACCAATGTTAAAAGTAAAATAACAGGCAAAAATATGTCAGACAAGTGCCTACAAAAATAAATCATGGATCATAGCATTAATATCAGACAAAGACAAATTCTCAAGGCAAAAAAAGTATTAACTGAGAACCAATGGTCATTTAATATTGATATATTAATAAGCAGTATAAATTTATAATGAACATTTTATACCTCAAGTAACATTAAAGCAAAACATCAAAAAGTTAGAAATGTAAGAAAAAAAAGTTTAAATCCACAATAGTAGTAGGAAGCTTTAATATCTTTGCCAGATCAAGGAAGCAAAATAGAAATAAGAATATAAAGATCTGAATAATACAATTAATAAAGTCGATATAAAAGATAGATATACTAGCAATGATACCTTACAAGGGGATAATATACCGTATTTGAAAAATTACATAAATGGATTATAAGAATTGACCATACATTATTTTTAGGCCCCAGAGAATATTTGGGGGCCATATTTTCTGATCATAGTTCAGAAAATTTAGAACTTAATATAAAAAGAATGGAAAGAAAAAAAATTCATTCATGTAGAAATTTTAAAATACTTCTTAAAAGAAAAACTTAATTTATAGGCCATTTAGAAACAATGACAACCAAAAACAAAAGCTTAAAAGTTATGATCTAAACTGGTACTCAAAGGAATATTCACTGCCTTACTTTTTAAAAATACACACACATATATACAAAAAAGATGGAAAAGAAGTAAACTTCATCTAATTAAAGAAGGTGGAAAGAGAACAATAAGCCTAAGAAAAAGTTAGAATAAATAAACACATAGAAGAAATGAATGAGTTAACAAACAGGAAAATTAGAATTGTTAAACTCAAGAATTGATTCTATGAAAAAGTCTGATAAAATAGAAATCTTCTCATGTGTTAATGAAGAAAAGGGTAGAAGAAACAAATATAGAGCCTTTGGGCCGAGCCCGTGGCACACTCGGGAGAGTGCGGTGCTGGGAGCGCAGCAGTGCTCCCGCTGCGGGTTTGGATCCTATATAGGGATGACCGGTTCGCTCACAGTGCTCACTGGCTGAGCGTGGTGCGGCCGGTCTCAAAAAGGACAAAAAATAAAATAAAATAAAATAACAAATATAGAGCCTTAGAAACAAGATAGTTATAATTGCAGATAAGAACAGATTAAAAATTGTAAGAAAAGGCTATATATTAATTCTTTTCTTATAAATTAAAAACCTCAGCTAAGTGGATAATTTAGGAAGAAAATAAAATAACTAAAACATGTCCAAACCTCACTAGAACAATAAACATATATAAAATTGAAAAAATGCTTAAAGAACTATATTCCTCAAAGGAACAATAGGCCCTAATTATTTTGGTTGACTTCTCTTAACCCCCTAATCTTATACCCTGGTATATATACAGAGGTGGTATTGAAGAACTAGAGCCCACTGTTTACCATAATCAGTTATGCAGCATATTGCACATAATCTCACATTAATAAATTAGAGAAATGATTTAGATTTTATAATACGAATGTCTAACAATTACTGAGTGCCTACTGTATTCTAGGTATAGTTATAAGCACTTAGTTTTATCTCATTTGATAATTTAAAAACTGGAATTTGCATTTTGTCCCCTGCCTGAATCCATTATTAATCTTCCTTTTATTCTAGCTAGAGGCTAATCAGAGGTCTAGAAAAATTAAAAATGCAATAGGCCTGTTCATCTTTGAAATATGGATTTCAGATTCAAGATTGTCTGTTGTTTTAAGAGTTTGTTGAAAGGGGATTGAAAAATATACTGGGTTTTATAATAGTTGTTGAAATTTCTCCATGCTGTGTTCTGCCTATACTACCTCCCTGCCCAACAATTGGGACACATAGCAAGGCATCATAAACAAAGTCAAATGGCTCACAACAAAATGGAATTTTCTTATTCAAAATAATAATAGCAATTATAATTTATTGCCTGTTTTCTGCTAGGTAGTTTATGTTT